CCTGCGTTGCCCGATGTGCTGAAAACCCACCCCTGCCGATGTTTTCTGCACGTCCGTTCTTGAGAACATGCCTTTTGTACCTCGCGCGGGAATCAACCGCGAACCCTGTAGTTGCCCCGTTCCAAACCGTTTTGCAACTCGTGACAGAAGGACACCGGCCGCGGCGGTGCGATTGCCTTTGTGCCCTCCTCCGTCCGGAGCGATTCTCATTGCTCCTGAGTTGCCCATGAGGAAGGGTCAGCAAAAAGCCATAGTACAAGATAACCAGTGAGATCTAGAATCTAGATGAAAAGCTTGGTAGCCCCGAGGTATATACTTTGTACACGGCGGGGGATTCGAGTATGGCTCCCCGCTGGAAGATGGCTACGACAGCCTTTGCTCGCGAGTAGCAGCAGGTTCAGGCACGGAGCATCTCCGCATACAGTTGAGCAGCCCTGTGTCTTGTCCTGCTGCATCCTGCTACTGGCTGCAGCAGGTCTATAGTAATGCTGACAGGTGTGCCCACGGAATAGGAACGAGCTTCTCCTTGCTTGTTGCTCGGGAGGCCTTGTGGTGGTATGTCCGGATCATCCTCTGTCCGGGGAGAGCCGGCCGTTTAAAGCACCCGAAATCATCGACGTGCTGCTGAAAGGTCTGCCGGCGAGAGCATCAAGGAATGATACCTGTTCGTTAGTGCAAAGATTTTGAACGTCAAGAAACGGTGGCCTAAGCCTGAGTGACAGATCAGATCAGAGTGCAACAGGTTTACGGTGGCTACTGCGATTCGACCCCGTGACAAAGGAGCGAAGGAAAGCTTCCCAGAAGCTGATCCTAGCTGGGGACTCCGCTGGAGCTACGCAGGTCTCCACTTAGCACTCCAAGCAGAGCCTTTTTTTCAGTCTTTCAGACTCTATCAGTTCTTACGACAGCTTCTCATATCGGTACTCCTTGAACTTTGGAAAGCACAGGCGCTTTCAATTGCACTGCGTGCGCTGGAAAAAGACGACACGGAGCTGACAGCCTCACTTTGTGGACTGGTGCTGATTTCACCATGGCTTGACCTGAGCTGCGGAAGCCACACCTATGAAGCCTGGCACAACACGGAGGGAAGATTGCTTGTTTCGCGTAAAAGCTAAGCGTCAGTATCTCTGTCGATCGTCAAGAGCTTTTCTTCATAGCCGTATGTCAGATGTCATACCTAGCTTGTTGCACACGGCTATTAGTTGCTGGTGCTGCGCAGAGGACTTTCACCCAATTTAAGGTGAGCAACGCCTATGCAGAGGAGGCCGACACTGGCGATCTCGCCTTCCGGGAGCATGCCGATGACAACAGAGCATCTTTCCGTCGCACCGTTGGCAGCACGCTTCCTGCCGATCCCTCCCGCCCTTCCTGTTTCAGTGATGATGTTGGATACTGAGAGATGGTGAGTAGAAAGGTATGGCCATGACATACACCGGATCATCAGGGCTTGTCAAGGCCAGCTTTTGATGTTGAATGCAGTATGTTGCTCGCTGGCTTTCCGGGAGGATGCTACCTTCAGCCCTTATTGGCTGGTACGCAACCTCGAGTCTGACCTTGTCGCCAAGCTTGCCAAGCTGCAGACTCCTGTACTTTGTCAGCATCTTCAGCAGCGTGGTGAATTAACACAGACACACCCTCTTCCCTGATCCAGTGTTACGGCGCATCCTGTGAACCCCAGCCCAGCAAAACACCATACGGCGCATCCTGTATCCGTGTGATTCGGCCCAGATGTGGATTTGTGCTGGTGCAGCAGAGACGCTGAGTGGCGAGGCTCCACTGCTTGTGTGCCACCGGGGCTGAGAGAAGCTTGTTGTTTTGCCATTAGAGGTCCTGGACTTTGCTGAGCGACTTCGGGGCAAGGCCCGGTGCAAACCACACTTCCTATCACGACAGATGCATCTCTCTGTAAGGTACCCATTGAGGCATGGCTCCATGAAGGCATGTTCCATGACTGGGTGATGCCCCGTGCCTGCAGTTTATTGCTGTATTCCTGTATTTGGCTTGTTTGGCAACTGGAGTGTCGCAGAAAGTGTTGGAGATAAACTTACGATGTCTCAGCAGTGTGTGCTAGATGATCCGAAGGTATACAACAGACCATCCTATGCCGAGCAAAGATGCTGCAATGAAGCTGGACGGCATGCGGAAATGCTATTGCTTGGTTTAGTGTCTAGTGTATCGAGATGTGATTTGTGCCCAGGAACAACATGTTTGACTTCATTACCCGGATACGTCTTGGCCCCTTTGTTTCCGTGGTGTGGCATGCGTGCGGCTTGTTGCCGGAGGGCACTCGTCTTGCTAGCTGAGGTGGCACATCCTTCACCCCTGCAAATGGCATTCATTACTATATAGAAGAATGGGAATGAACGCCAATGTCTCATCAACAGAACGATAAAACAATTCCAATCTGCTATCCCTTCAAGAAGACCGAATTCTATTATCTCCAATTACGGGGCAACCATTCTACCATCGATTTTGATTTTTACAACATTCATTTAATAGAATTTAATACATATTTCTTACACGACAGACAAAAATAGAAACATATGAAGAATTGCATGATTTTACGATTATGAGATGACTTGAAAATATTGGATCTTATATTTCGAATATAAATTTTTGAAGATTTATTATCGATACATTGAAGATCGAAAATAATATATATATATAAAAATATATATACATATTCTTTCATATGAAAATTAATGATATTCTTGGCCAAAAATATTTGGTCTATAGAATGATATGAGGTTCCGTTTCGAGGTTTTATAATTATGGTTTCGTACGAATTAATTACCGGCGAAATTTTATATTTCGTACTATATTATTTTCGATTATTTTTATTTTATAGGAATCGCTTTTTTATGTCGTTATTGCGAAGCATAATATATTATCGATATCTTGTTGAAATTATTTAAGCTGCTTGAATTATATTATTATTATAATGTTACAATCGACTATAATGAATGATAAGATATTTTGGATAAGTTATATATATCTTATATTTCTAATATTGTGTAGTATACTATATCGCGTATGGTGTTCGTAGGGCTTTATAATATATTTTCGCACGATATTTTGTATTGCGACCGCTTCGGATCTTTTGGCTCTAAATAAATTAGGACGTGACCGATTAGATATCTTAATTATAGATCGGAAGATAGAAACGTTAGTTGTGGGCGAGGGCTCGACCCATATAATATATATGATATAAATATTCACCTAAAGAATAAAAAGGAAAGTAATTATAGATTAAGTATTACTCTAAATATCTCGTAATTTTATCATAAGCAAAATTAGAAATATATCGATCTTCGTTTTCGATTTAATTTCTCCCATTCTACGACCTCCCACGCCTAATATAGCCGCCCTACCATAACGAGCCCCAAGATATCGCTATTGTTCATTCAATAATCTATCTTTTTTATAGTGTTCTTCGAACCTCCCCGATCCTTAACGCGACCTCTTCCTGTATTTTAACATCTCCCAGCAAAAATCCTACTTACACTCACCCTCGTCCGACCCTCCACGACATTCCCCACGACACATACGCTCTCATCACGACAAACACGACCCGCCCTTGCCCACCACTCCCGACACATACGCCGCTCCGCGACACTCCCCACAACCGAACCACCCCCTATCACTTCCCCCGCCACTACCCACAATACACATGCCTTCGCCCTACGCTACGACACCCGCGACGCGGGGTGAGGTGAGGGAAAATGAGTCGTGGGGAGGGTGAATCGAATTGAATGATGGGTTGGAATGATGGGCGTTATGAGAAATATCGTAGAGAGGTGGTCGATGGCATATGAGAGTACGTCTCGTAGGAGAATATCGTTTAGAGCTGGGTGAAGGCGTCTGGGTCGTGGGGGGACGCATATATATATGTCGTGAGAGATGTCGTGAAATGGTCCGGCGAGAAATATTATGAAAAGATGCTCGAAGATATAGAAATGAATGAAAAAATGATAGCAACTCTCGAATTATCGACTACCACTGTGGACTTTCTATTGTTGTCTCCGATTTGAATAGATCTTAAATATGAAGAAATCTTGAATCTCTATTCGATTTCTAGAAAATCTCGTCTTAAATTCATTTGATTTCTATATTAGTAATGCTTATTTTCTAATTAGGATTTTGCCACGAAGATATTGAAAATATAATTATCTCTAAGAAATATTCTTATCGGGTCTGTTTCTTATAACAATTGATCTAAGAAAGAAATATTAATGATGCTAATAATGATGAAAATGACGATAAAGATGCTATTGAAGATGACGATCTAAAGAATAATGATGATAATGATGACGATGATAAATCGAGATGCCCAGGGCGTCTCCAAATGAGGGAAGAGAATCGAAATAGATCCAAATTCCCGACCCTCATTCGTATCGCAGGGGGGGGAGAGAAGGGATATTCTCTCCGTTGGGGGGGAGGGGGGGGGGCGGCCGATCCCCGATAATAAATATAGATGGATCCCTTATTGATATGGGCAGCCTTGAGAAATACAGAGGGATGGTATGTCGAAGAATATTCTAGAAAATTTGGCGAAAATAAAATTATTATGAAATGACGATAAAAAAGAAAAGAAAGAAGAGATAAATAAAGATATAAATCATAATAGATATGATTATGATATAGTAATAACAAGGAATCTCACAATAAGGACTAGTATTGATAATTATTCAGATCTCTATATTATCTTCAAATATTGAGCCCTAAATCCTAAAGACCATGAGTCGATTCAATCCTAAACCCTTGAAGCGGAAAGGAAGGCGCCAATGAGTCTAAGAGTCTGCCGGAAAACCAAGCGAACGCCTGCGCTCTTGTTGAAGCGGCTGCAGTGTTTGGGTTTTAGGGTTTAGGGTTCAGGGTTTAGGGTTTAGGGCGGCTGCAATATTTGACATTTAGAGGATCTAAAATTATGTGTCTTTTTCAATCAAATAGCAAATTCAATCTTCTTATTTTAATAGATAATTATAAGAATACTAGCCGTCTCTATTCATTTTTTAATTATTATCGATATTTGATTGAATTGTCGCGTAATCTTCTTATTTTTATAAAAATGAATCGCGTGTTCCTGATTCCCCAAATAAAAATGATGGAGATGATACTCTCGATTTCTATATTTTTATTCTAATTAAATTTATGTATATATTTGAATGATTTTCGACATTAACGGAACAGATCAGAATATCGATAGAAATTCTAATTTCTATTTTCGAAATCATTATTATCATTGACGGATCAGAATTCGATAGAAGCTCTAATTCTCAAATAATCAGACGTCCATTCAACGACGATATTTATTAAGAATGATAATCTTATACGGACTGATTAATAGAAATTTCTAGCTTTATAAAGAAATATATTCTGAAATATTCTTGCTCATATAGATCTATTAATTTCGTTTCATTCGATTATGGATCTCAATATATCTCTTCGATATCTCTAGAAGATCTGTGAGCACCTAGATTGCGATATATCTTGTTGCAAGAATAATATCGAATTGGTCGCTTGGATTATGAAGATTATTTTCTTTAGGAATTGATATGATATTCTCAAATTCGACATTGATATTATTTATCATAGAAGATTCTTTCAATTATGATGGCGATAATAATTCCATTCGATTGCTCTCAATACGAATTGCTAGTTTCTAAATTACGAAATACGATCTTGCTTTCTGTCCGCATTATTTATTTCTTTAACGATATCTTGTCGAAAGAAGAATAATTGGACGATAAGAAATTTGAGATTAATTATATCTCATCTTCTTGAGAATTATCGGATCGTGGGTATAATTTCGAGAATAAAGAAAATTTGATTGAATATATCATTATCTCCATCTGAATCTAAATTGATAATTAATATTGCCAAAATGCTATGATATATTAAAATAAATTCAAAATGAAAATTCTAAATCGATCGAACAATCTCTATATAGATACGGAATCAAGATCTCGCAAATCTTCATATCTCAAATTCCTCAAATTTTTTTTGCATACAAATCTATTCTGACTATCGGATATCTCAATTCCGAAATTTTACGATCCTCTCGTCTAGCTGAAAATCGAAGTCATATAGAAATTTCACAATGTCTGAATATCTAAATCTTGCTTTCTCTTTCCGGCACGTCATTCGCAACCTAGACAAGGTCTTATTTATGGCAGATATTCATTAAGATATAATCGGAAGAAATAGCATATAAGAATATGAATTCTTATTATATCGTGTCTGTCTTATTTAGATTTACTCTCGTCAAAGAAGATTATATAATATTTTATATGAGGTTCGTTTATGAGCAGAATATCGTGGGACGGATGAAGGGAATTTAGGTCGTGAGGGATAGGAGAGTGATATAGTGACGAATATAAAGATATATTTAGAATGAATAAGATATGATATAATAACAGATATAAATATTATGGAACGCTAGCTATAGATTGGCTATAGATATTTAAAATTTGGAATATCTATATATTTATAATTTCAATATTACGACATATATTTTAGATATTACAATAAATATTATTCGACATATTTTCGGAATCTAAATATAGGGAGGCGAAGATACTTATATTAATAGAAATTGGAACTTATAGGAAATATCTCAGAATCTATCTCTTGAGAAGCTACTTATACAAAATAACGAGTCGCCACAATAATCTACTGACGGGGAATCGAGCATATCTTCTGGACGAGACTGATCTCAGAATATTAGAATGATAGATTTTCGATTATTCATATACTTCTTCCTGAATTGATTCCAAATCGGATATTATCTTGCTGGAAAAACTATCGAGATTTCGATTAGACGACTTTTTTGATATTACCCAGCCATATAGACCTCAAAATTAGTTATCTACACGATCTAATTGGATTGAACAAAATCATTCGAACAATAGAATAGATCCGGTCCTGGATTTTCTATATCAGAATTCTTTTATTATTCATTATTAGAGAAATCGTCCTGATGATCAAAGAATTTTAGATATATATTTCTGGATCAATTTTTTCAGATCCATATTTCTCAAAATCAGAATAAATCGTTATTAAGATAATGGATTTGATGAGCAAGGAATGATTAGAAGAATAGATCTAATAAATATAGAAATAATTAGAATTAATTCTGTAGTCCAAAATCTTAAATCTATATTTATCTTTATAATTTCTTTTGAATTGAATTTCAAATTTAATATTATCATAATCTCCACGCTGGCGATATTTCAAAGATTCGATGATTGTAGCTTCGCCGAATAATAAATATATAAAATCATTTTGTATTGCTATCCAATTAATCTATTGATATAATGAATTTTATATAGATTTATCTCATATCTGATTGAGTACAACTCTCTTTTTATTTCTGCCCCAAATTCCACCCGAAATTTGAAATTCTAATAAAAATTATGATATTCAATATATAAATAAGATACGTCTCCGGACATATGCCAAGGATTATTTTTTTGAAAATCTGATAAATTGAGCCTCGTATAGAAAATTACTATATTCCAGATCCGTCCCTACTAGTCCAATTTATATGTCCAATTTTTCATTTTTCTCAAATATATTTCTATCTTCCGAAAAGAAATTTAACAATAATATATCATTAAAATATTCAATTTATATATATATATACAGATATAGCTCCACCCTACACCTAATTACATATGTCTCTATTCATATGTCTATAATAGAACGGACCCGCTGCTTCTAGTAGCGAGGCAAGACGACTATATTGAATTTTCAATATTATAACTATTCTTCCATATCGCAAGATCTTATGATAAATAATATTCTGGGGAGAAAATAGCTCGCATCTGTTCGTGAATATTGATCCGTCCAAGAATCTGCTTACACCTGCCGATATCTGGGCACGAATTGATAGAGAATCTATATATAAAGATTGATACGACATATCGTAAACGAAATATTGAATTCAAACGATCTTGGATCAAATTAGAAGTATTACCTTTATGATTTTTTTAATAATGTAATTAATCTCAATATGAATCTGATTATTGAAATGCTATAAATCTTCCAAATCAAGCTAAGCTTTCTTTATTCCTTTCCCAGAAATGATAATCTTTTTGATCAAAAGCAATATCGAATAGAAATATTCGATTTGTTATTGAAATATAATAATAATTTCACGAATATGATTATGCTCATAATCTTCGGATCCAAATTTCGATCATAATTATCTCTAAATCCAAGATAACGAACAAGAAGCTACTTATATTCATCAGAATATGAATATGATTTATAGAAGATCCAAGATATAAAGACTAATATATACGTGCTCTACAGAATTTTCAAATATATATGTATTATTAAATTTATCATAAGACCTCATATGTCCGCCAAAAAATTCAATCGACAGATACGATAGAAATATTCATTGAAATATTATATGCTCTCTATTTGAAAGACGCACCTATTCTATCAATATCGAATAAGTATATTTCAAATTGCTCACCAATATTTTCAAAAAAATGCATATTAATTTTTTAGAAATTTCTATATTAATTTCCGAATCTATAATTATGATCTCAAAAATAGAATTGAAATCATATATATAGAAATAGAATATATATATATATATGAATATAATCGAAATTAAGAATAAAAGATTCATCATTATAATTATAATATATATTTTTTGAAAAAGAATATCATGATCCAAACCATAATCGAATCAGAAAATTATATATGAATATATATATATAGATAGATATCCGATCAATATAAAATATATAAGATAGAAAAATAAAAAAGAATAGATGCCTAGATAGATCATTAAATAAATCAATAAATAGACAATCAAAAAATAGGGAGATGGACAAATACATCCCATCAATAATCAGGCAGACAACGAGACAAACAAAGATATAAATAGAAATATAATTAAATAGATAGATAGCCAGATAGAGAGATATATAAGAGACTCTCAGGAAGATATTCGTCACATGATCCAATTACGGCAGATCATAGGCACGCACAGAATCACGGACACAAACAACACGACATTATTTTTATTGGAGAATAATTCTTTATATATGATACTTGGCGCCGGGATTAAGGCGATCCATCCTATCTAAAATGGATCCTCCTCCATGACCACGATTCGATTTATATGAAATCGATCTATCTATAAAAAACGATTCATAAATTGGGAATCTCCAAATATTCCCCAGGAGTCAAGGGAAAGACCCGATATAATATGTAAAATCGATACGAAATACGAAATTCTCCATAAAAATCACAATAGAACAAAAAATCGAAGGGAAGGATTCTGGAAGTCCCAAGTGGTTTAACCGTAGAACAAGGCACGAATCGAAATATAAATTCTCGGAAACCCCAAATTTACGGCAGATTTCAAGGGGGATGGTTCGATATGCAAAATCGACGCGAAATACTAAATCCTTAATAATAATTAAAATTCTAGAGCAACTATTCGGAGAGAAAAAAAATTAAGATTAGAATCTCCAAATACACGCCAAATTTCAAATGGATACACTGTATAAAAGAAATCGAGGCAGGGTTCCAAATTTGAAATCTATAAATTACGAGAACTAGTTCTATCGAGGCTACAACCTAATCGAAAAATACTCTAATAAAATAATTAGAAGAATAAAATCCGAGTTTCAAAAAAAATCTAGATTTATCTGCTAAACCGTATCTAAACCTCCCTCGCGTACGCTAATTTCCTCGCTACGATTTTAACCAACCCCTTAGAGACTAACGAAACGAAAAAAAAAAAACATAAAATTCCTAAATATACCCCAAAATTCAAAACCACGCGGCCCGGTCGCACTCAAATAAAACCCAATTAAGTCGTAATATTTATTTTTAGCAAGGCTTCATCTCTTACATTCATATTACCGTCGATAAACCATTTTACATATCTCCACCACAAATTAACCACTAAATATCTCTCCAAGCTACGTACAGATCTATTTTCAATCTCAGAGTCACGCCACCTATGACTCCGCTTCGCACAAAACGGGCCGATTTATAACGCCTACCCAGTAGAATCGACGGATGTCACCAATAAAATATGAATTTTCGAGCGAAATTTCAATAAAAAACAATATCTCTATCTATATTTAGTGAATTTTTTGGTTGCGAAATACAGATAAATTTTCGAATGAATAAAGATTTCAATCCGAAGTTCCGTTTTAACCGATATTTTATAGAAATATTTAATCTATTATAAATAAACATTAAACAAATATGTATTTTTTACCTAAAGAATCTGTCGAGTTCCCATGTTTAGTGCCGTATCAACAATAACCAAATAGGATTGATTCTCCAAAAGGACTATGATTCTGTAAATTTCCTAGCGGGAAGGCCAACAATTATCCCATCGTTCATGAGTGTAAAATCTGATCTTCGCCAAGGCTCGTGTCTCGTTTCTGTAGTTTCGATTTCCGAAATCTCAGCTTATTAAGTGTCATTGGGCCAGGCAGTGCCTTGGCTACAGGCGATGCTTGCTAACTCCAAACAATGGTGTGCATCATCGAGTTCAACTTCTTGACTGTCGACTTGCTATAGGGATGGTAGCAGCAGGGCCTGCATGCACAGGCTATTATACAGCGAGTTGTCCGAGATGTCTAAAGTCAAGACAAATTGAGAACCCAACCAATGCAATCTATGCTACTGCCGCAATTGACTGCTCCGACAACCTGCCTTGTGGTGGCACCGTGACTTTGGCCACATTTTCGTACATTAGCTAATGAGGTGAGGTCTTCGACGATGCCAGCGATATGAATCGCGTAATTCCGGCGCTTCGCCAAGGAGTCGCTCGACTTGACTGCGTACTTTCGAGATGCACTGCGGTGTTGTTACTCTATGTCAAGCAGCACATGCAAGAGATGGTCTTGCTTGCTTGCTCTGCTTACTCCAGGAATCCACGGTTGTCCGAGACTCCTCAGACGTCGTAATCTCAACACTTCCATGTGAGGTCACTACCGGGCTGTCACCGGCTCCGAGGAGGACCAGCGTCTCCCTGAGCCTGAGACAGGGTGACAAAGAACTTCGAAAAGACGTGGCCCTTGGTGCCCTGGCCGGTCTGTGCAGGGGAAGAAGCACCGAGCACCTTGGAATGGGCTTCTTCTGCTTCACGGCACTTCCATCGCGAGCTTCTTTTTCACTTCGCTCGCGGCGGGCTCCCCAAGGCTTTGATGAAGGTCTCGGCGCTCCTGCATCAACAGCGGAAGACTCTCATCTCGATGCATGGAAACTGATGTACTGCTAACAGGGGCCACCTGATCCGCACGGAAGCGCTGAGCCTCGCAAATCGCAGACGCTCACCAAGCTAGCCAGGAAGCCTTGAAGTTGAGGCACTCTAGTCCTATTTCGAATTCTTAGCAGATAAACAACTCTTCCGAGGCCTCCCAGTTCTTCGCCAGGGTGGTGTCATCGCGGCGGAATCTTTCCAGGTGCGATTCCATGAGTCGAACCTCGGCGCGTGTTGCACCTGGAATTAATCTGTTGTCCGGTGCCCTCCTCCGACCTCGTCTTCCAGCTCTCGCTGCAAGCGCTGGTTTTCCCTCTCCTCTCGCTGGCATTCCTGTTCTGGAGGACGGTCATGCGTGGTCCCGGACATGATGCAGCTGCGCGCCCTAGCGCCTGCCGAAGGAAGCCGAGGCTGGTCTCGCTTTCCACAAGTCGGCTTCGTACCTGCGGAGTATTTCGCTAGGCCCTTGGTTCTCAAGCTTAGACACTGGCGCAGGCACTTGAAGGAGCTACACAAAAAAAAAGACAACTAAAAATCATGCGTTCTCAGTGATCAGTCGGGTCGCTCGCTCTACGTCCTGCTCCATGTCCTCCAATCTCTGTTGCCGGTGGTCGACGTACTGTCACAAATACACGAGCTTTCGTTGAACTGAGAAGCTTGAATGGAGGCTCTGCTCGGCGTCTTTTGCACTTTCGGCACTCCGGTCGCAGGACGACAACAGGCTAATTGCAGCCGTGAGAAAAGTGGGGCTAAGTAGGCCCGAAATATTGGTTCGGCCCAGAACGATTCTTTGGAGACTGCATAAAGTCTTAGACTCATGAGGTCTCTGTGGTCTGGCCAGGAAAACCGACCGGAGCACGGTTAATGCTACACGATTCGGAGCTCAGCATCTCTCAGTGTCACAAGAGTCTGCAAAACTTGCAAGTTGTGGGTCCAGATGTCCATCAACGGCGCATTGCCTTGCGAAGTACCAGGGCCGCCCTTGGCAGGACGTCTCTCGCGGAGATCGATGCGCTCCTGCCATCTCTACAACTCCAGAAAGCTCTGTCCACGGACTCTCTCCGCTCTGAACACCTCCACGGAGGTTTGAGGTCTGGGAGGCGAGGCTTTCAACTCGAGACAGAAGGAGCAACGTCAACGTCCTCGTGGCTCTCGTGAAACCGGCCGGGTGATGTATCTGCAGGGATCTAGCAGCACCTGAGCTGTGGGCTGCATCTTGGAATGCTCTACTCTCTTATCCAGGCTCTATGGTCGTGATGTTAGGTTTGGTCGTGCTGTCGGAGGTGATGGACAATGATCTCGAAAGCAAGGAGCACCCGAATGCTAGCAGCAACTATCCGTACTATCCTGCGACTAACAAACAGGCTACCGAAAGGAGCGCGATAAGACAGATAAAAAGAAGCCACGTCATACGAGCAGCGCCGGAAACAGCCGCAGCAACAGAAACAACGGCAGCAGCAACAGCAAGACAACGGCGATGACCGCGAGGATGCTACATCATTCAAGCTGTAACAACGGACTGTAATGCAACACCAGCAGTCGTTGAACGAATGCCAGCAGCAGCGGCAGCACGATACTCGCAGTTCTTTACATCGTTGCCATTCTCGGAGTCATACTATCCAGCCACACCAGCAGTCTTTGGTGATTTTTCACTTGCAACGTGAAGCGAGAGCCGCTGAGTCTGAAGCTGGAAAAGCTCCGATGAGACATCTGCACTGCAAGCCGCTGAGAACTGCTGCGGGCTGTCTGTGGGACCTGTGCCACATCGAGTAAAGCCAGTCTGAGCAAGGGAAGGCATCGAGAAATCGAACAGCTGAGATACCATGTGGTGCAAGCCCCACCGCAAGTGCTGTGGATGTCTCTATAGCTGCAGAAGCATCATAGTGTACGACGGAAACCTCAAAAGCCGGACCCGCATGCCAAAGACAAGTTGTAGCAACGCTCACCTCCTGCTCAGTTGATGCACCCGCAGAACCAGCACGCCGACGACCATGAGAGTCACAAACGTTCGCAAATCAGTGAAACAACCATGGATTTTCTATGCTTGCGGACTGTGTATGCCGCACCAGGAGAACTAGCCAAGATCCTTCAAACAACGACACCGCAAGACAGGTCCCCTCCACAAACTGTGTCACCTCCAAGGGCTCTGATTGCTCCACCGCGGCCGGCTCCTGGCCAATCTGCCACAATCTGCCCTAGGAAGCGATGAATGCGACTCACAAGTCTCCTCGAGGCTTTCGCCGGACGGCAGCATTGGACGGGCCACGGACTCGACCTTTGCTAGGTCCACTTCCGCTCTGCGAACTCTTTCACGTGCATCGCCTCGGCTGTCGACTGCACATGTGCTTGCAGGAATTTGAATGAAGACTTCGAACCCCATGCTCCGGTGGTTCCTGAACGCGTTCATGCGGCAAACGGCCATCCATCCGCCACTTTGCTGCTTCGCTTCGGCCTGCGTTCTGTTGACTAACGCCTCGGGGCCTCTTGGGGCTTTGGGAGAATTCGCAGATAGTTTACAGCATCCCATCATGAACTGCTGATGTGATACTTGTTACGCCTGCGCGGACTTGGTGTTGCAATTGTGCAAGGAAAAGAGAGATCACAACGTGAGATCAAGAAGAAGCGAGTACGGACTCAGCGAAACTTGGCTTAATCAACAGCATTCCCACACACTTCGTTCACCTCCACAGTTTGCAGCTGCTGACGCGCAGACGTCAGCACCGTCTTCGCCTTGCAGAACGTCGCTTCTTGCCAGGGACATACTGACAGAGGCAGGAGCGGAGCAGGTGTCAGGATGTGTCAGGTGAAGAGGCTGTGGTCTGCGGCGCTCGCAGAAGAACAGCTATGAACAGCTGTCAAGTCCGTGTCGTGCAGACTTTGCATGGCAGCTGCTACAGGTCGGATCACGCGGCGCGGACGTGCTCTCGAAGCTCGCTTCGCAAGCTGAAGGCCTCCTCCATCATATCAGATGCTTCCGCAGGGGAAGCAGGCAGCAGAACCTCCAGGGGAAAGGACAGGGTAATCCAAGAGTGACGAAAGTTTCAGTGCTCCACTGCCGACACTCGCACGGACGCCCAACAGCTCCCAGCCCGATTGGCAACCGATGCCTGTGCTTCTGCCACGGCCTGCACAAAACTCCACAAATCGCGCATTTGTCATGTGGATCGAAGCCACAGCAGTAGGCTTGGCGTTCTAGGTAGCTGGTAGGCCCTGGTAGGCCCTCTCTGCTTCCGAAACTGGCCTGGATCTCTGCCTCGATTTCGGCGGCCACCCTGCAAACATAGCAGACTGGCGGCTTGTCGGTTATTCGCTGCATTTCCCCGCAACCCTGCAGCCACCCTGTTTGCGACGTGATCGCCCTGTGTCTTGCCTTTCGGCTGTTGCTTCAGCCGCCAGACGTCGCGCTGAGAGCTCCTTGCATTTTCTGCCGTGGGACATGGTGCGGCAGTACGATGTTCAAAGGCACTTGCGAGCTCCTGGCCTCAGCGGGGACTTCATCAGGAAGCAAATCGCGCACAACCGGAACTTGTTGTGCAAACATATGGCGAATCAATTGAAATACGTAAGCCGGACGGGAGCTCATGCGCAAGCTGCACAACCTGAATCCTTTGCCTTGAGTGTTTGAAGAATGACGTAGGTCACTACGAAGACCAGACCTGCCCCACGTTTGCAAAGACCCAGGAGAACCGAGAGATCTAGTCTGTGCATGCGTCAGTTGCCTATCATGGAAGCTGCCCATAGCATGCCCATGGCCAGTCCAATCGCCGGAATTACAAAGAAGGCGGCTGCCCAAATGAAGAAAGGGTACCTTAGAGCAAAGTGTTCAGAGCTCAACGGACGCAACCTGCACAAACCAGGTGGTGACGTGTACCCCTCTCTTTTGGCAAGGCACGGCATTGTCGAGCTCTGCAGCAGGTGGACGGGCACAGGTGTTGGACTGACTCCGCAAGAACAACCCTGGGGTGATTTCTAGCACGTCTGTTTCGCAGCATGTTTTTGGTCGAGGGTTCTCCATCAAGCTGTTCGCACTCGAAGCGCCTGTCAGCAAGCACCGGCGATCTAAGCAACATACACGAGCAGTACATCTGGCCATCCAGCTTTACCCACATGAGTGCATGGACTTGAAGGCTCACGCAGCCTCGAGCAGGAAGCTGCTCGGTGCAAGATGTGCAAGCATGCCCCCACACGGCCCACACGTTTCGGATCCGAACAGCTGGGGGCGCCTCGTGACCTTGGGCCAGCTCGCTCCTTCTGCTCTCCTGCGCAAGGTTTGGGAGCTCTTAGAGTGGCCTACGCCGCAGTTCGGGCAGCCCGGCCCGGCCCATGCCTCGATCCTCATCTTCTCTTTCTCCATGCCTGCGCTCTGACCCGCCAAAAGGGCTTTGACCCGTGGAAAGACAAGGTGCTTCGTTGGAGCCATCCGGCTGTAAATGCTGCCTACGAGCAGGAGAGATTCCAACCGCAAAGGGATACTGCTCTTGCATCTGATCATACACGTAACCGTCGACGGAAGGCTTCGAGTGTTTTATGGGCCCTGGGAGGATGTACACCATGTTCCCGCAGCGAGGAGCAAATCCCCAAAATGCCGCCTTCCAAGCGATGTCGACTTTCACTTCGGGCCTGCCTGGGACACTTCACGTGACTCACGTGGATGAAGGCACCGTGGAGGAGTCACAAACAGCTAGTGCCTCAACGCTGCCGAAGCGAGCTCCTTCTCGCGCTCGCACTCCTCCTTCGCCTGAACGGCCGAGGCATCTGTACAGAGACGCTGCTTTGCCAGGTCTGGCCTGCTCATGCACCCTCCGATGATTGAGCAACACCGCTTCGTAGCGCTCTCGGTCGGTGTAAAGGATTTGCACCTGGAGGCAGAGCTGTGTGACTCTCTCGTTCCCCTGTGGTCTCTGTATGTCTCTGTGAAGTACCAGAAAAAACAACACATTTCACGAGGCCTGGTTCTCCAGATTTCTTTCCATGACGGACAACACCTTTCACACTCCGCTCACTAAGCGGCCCAAGCCCTAGAGCACAGCGACAGGTGCCTCGATGGCCTGCTGGCGCTGTGCCTCAGCCTGCAAGTAGCTCTGGTGCGGCTTGGGCTGCCTACTTTAGCGTGTCTGTGAGGAGGGCATCTTCTCGGAGGCAAGATACAAGCAGGTGCGGCTTCAGCTGCACATCGGGAGCCATGCTGTTATTTCTGAAGATGCCCCGACTTGATGTCTTCCGAGGGCCCCTATGCCCCCTAGGCCCGTAGTCACGGTCTCATTGCAGCCCCATCTGCCTCTGATGCCACGCGAGCCTGAGGCTGAGCATGTAGCAGTTGCGTATTACAAAATCTAGACGCCTGCAGTCTACACTGTCTACACTCTGGTCTTCGCTTGACAGCAACGTTTTTTCTCCCCGGGGTCCGCACTCGCTGGTCTGCCACTTCACGCAAGCGCTCTCGGCAGCTTACCAGCAGCTCCTCTCAACCCGAGCAGCACAATCACTGCAATGCACTGCGAGGCTGTGTGCAAAGATCGGTCCTGAGACTCCTTGAGCTGCGCCTCCGCGGCGGCCTGTGTTTCGCTTCTTTTGTATGAGGTGGACAGAAAAGCTAGATTGGGTAGATGCGGTAGATGTCTTCTCCGACGCGAAGGAAAAAACAGCACACACGTAACCTCACGTCATGGAGCAGCACTTGCATTCTTGCTAGAACTCCGGCCGGAACAACAGTAACGAGCGGACGATAAGAGTACTTGCTACGAGTAGCTCCAATTTCGGGCTGTTTTTGCAGGAGCATCTTGGCTGGCGTGCATACGATTTGATTGAACACTGGTGGTTCTCAGCAACACGATTCAGCCTTCTTGGGGGTGTGCTTGTCGTCACGGCGTTTGCATCGATGCGCCATGCTGAGACATGCTGAGCACTGTCTGAGACTGACATCAGATGTGACACGAGGATTCGCTAGGATTTCGTGGCCTTTGCTGTTGGCAGCCGCTCATGACAGCAAGGCCGGCAATGGCAGTCAGAGTCACCTGTCTTAGCCCTGGCCTGTCGTGTCGTGCTCTCAACTTCACGACCTTTGTGACACGGTGCGGACGGATATCTTCCCGAAGTCTCCCTTCAAGGCTTGGGCTCCTGGTCGCACGGCGCTTGTGCACCAAGTCCCCTGTCAGAAGTCAGAAGTGCTTACGGGAAACAAATACGCAAAGAGTAAACATGTTGTGACGGATCATCTGCACGAAGGCGCGATTTCCGAGCCTGATATTTGGCGAATTTCCTGCTCCAAATCTTCGTTGCACCCGCTCAGCATGTTGCACATGGCCTGCACATTCGAACATGCTCCCTGACTCCCCTCATGCTGTCTCACATACTGTCTCAAGAGGGGTGTATGATGCAGGTAAACCTGTATCGGTTTGTTCGTTGCAGCATAACATCTAGCTTCAACAAAGCGAGCTGGCACCCCCAGCTGAGAACACTGCTTGGCCCTGGAATCGGACATGCTCATGTTTACAAAATTGAACATGCCTGTGTGATTTGCGGTTGTTTCGTCATCAGGTTCCTTTGTCTTGCGGAGTCGATGCCGCCGGAAGCAATCGCACTTTGCATGGCGCATTGGTTTCACCTCTGCTCGTTGTCGAAAGCGGCGATTAACAAATCGATGCGAGCTTTACGATCTGGACTCAAACCGCTGTGGCTGCATGTGAGTGCTTTGTCAATACCTGTTTGTGAGCCATTTGCAGACAAGGTAAGAGTCGAGAGCACCCATGTGTGAAGGAAGCAAAATGATGCGTCCGAGGGAAACGGAAGTATCAAAATTATCGCTTATGCTCTTACGCCGTGTTTTTTTCGCGGACTGGCTGGATTTGTAGCCAGCCATAGCTGTTGAACTTTCGAACAGCATGATTATGTTTAAACTTGCTGCGATTTCATAAAATGCTCCAGAAACCGCAGCCAAGCCGCCTGGAGAGAAGCATGTCTCATTGATCCCGAGCCGCTGCAACGCACATGCCACTCTGCCAATACGGCCGCTTCAAGAAGATAGCAGTGTCTTTCGATTCTCGTTCGATCCGCTTCTTCTGGTTGAAGTATTCACGGGTCCGTCATTGCATTAACCCGCGGATCATGTAGGCCAGCTACTACATTTACTCATTTGACTCCCACTACCGATCGCCGAAACCGATCTGATTCATCGGATCTGCTCTCGCCAGAAACCCTCATAATCGCAGCATGCAATTCCATTTAGATCCTTTTGCCTTGTGGCAATAATCTCGTTTCAACTTTGCCCGATCTGTGCGACTTCCCTTCGATTTGGCATGCAAGTTAATTAAGCTATATCATCATTTCGGCTGCAGCTTAATTTCCAGGCCCACTCACAATCAAAATCAGTACTTATGTGGCACTCTCCAAACATCCAACCCTGAGACTCCCCAAACTTCGATAGCCATAGGCCCCAAACCCCAATGCCTATATAACCGTGAGGGCTAAGCCTAAACCCAAACCCCAAGCTATGAAAACAAATTCCCAATCCATAAGGGTTTAACACCAAAAATGCGGTCAATGTGGCACTGGCTTTAATATCTTCAGTTAGGTGACCCTCTGTAGTTCAAGGATTTGGCCTTTTTCGCCGTCTTCGTGCATGTGCAAACAAACCGCCCGGATTCTCTCCAGCCTTTTCTAAACATTGTAATGGGTCTGAAGCTGGAGGATGAAGCGACTTGCACTCATACTGGATTGGCAGGGATTCGGAGCCGTTCCGGGGGTTTTAACGGGTCTTACAAGGGCTTAGACTCTCTGGTTCTGGTGCTTGGATTTGAAGTTTTGGGACTGAAGACAGTAAGATTTTGGAGGCTTTGTAAAGGGTTTAGGAAGGGTTCAAGCTCGGGTTTTAGGTGGTACTTACCTCAGCCTCAGGTTTGGGTTTTGGGAAGCCTCCAAAAACCCAAACCCAAAACTCCCAGAGACCTTTTCAGCCGCTCCGATTAAGTAATTTCTGTGCTCTTTTTTACTACTCCAATATTCCACTACTATACTGCTACTGCATTAAGTACTGCACTACTCCCCCTTCCTTCACCGAAAAAAGGGGGGTCTGGGAGCATACACGAATCATATTATTGAGCCACACTACTCATGCCGTCGGGAAATGGTTGGGAGCGGGATGGTCCACTTAACCCAGTGCCACATTAAGCCAAAACGCCCAACCTCAAAGCCCACAACGTCAGCCTTAAACACAAGGGAGAAGCCAATGGGTGACACAGACTCACACAAAAGCAGAAGGTACGGCCAACCCTGCGAAAAAGATGCTCGTAAAGCCAAAAAATACGCGTCGTTGAAAAATGACGTCGCAGAAACCTTGGCTCGGAGAAAGCTGCCCTTTCTTCAGGGGTCCACCGAGAAAAAGCAACTCGTCCGGACGACAAAAAGAGGATGACATCTTCTTGGGCTGTCCCGCGAAAGGAAGCTGCTTGTTGCCATGCTGATGCAATTGACAGACTCTTGCAAGCCTGGAGAGTGAGAAGGTCGCCATTGAAAGCCTGCTTTGCAGCGTTGAAATCCTTCTCCAGGGCCTGTGGCAATGGCAGTTGACAACCAAAAAGCTCACGACAGCTCATGGCCTCGTCTGCCTTTACGATTCTGGCACATGTGACTTTCAACGTCGATAGCATTGCAAGATCCGCCAAAGTGCGCCGCCCTACTACTGCGCTCTAGCGCCTCACGGCCGTTGTTCTCTGCGTCCCAGTGCGACCTGCTTTGTCCAGCACAGAATAGAGAGGGAGCCAGGCCTTGTCGAACACCCCAAACACGGTACGACTTGCCAATCTCGAGACCTTGCATCGTTTCAGCCTCCACGATGAAACATCAGCATCGGAGGTCGCGATGTCCTGCAGTGAGGCCTGAAAACTGCAGGCATGCTGAGCAGACTTCGGCCTGCGATGGCTTCACAGGCTTCACATGCCGAGCTCAGTGATTCAGCATGGCCCGCCTCATGGTCAGCTTGAAGCTTGAGCAACTCCTTTTGAGCATGGCGGACGTGGACAACAAGGACAGCGAATAAAGAGTTGCCACGAGTGCAAGCATGCACGGCTCGTAGGTTAATCTCTTTTAACTTTTGCAGAGGTCAGTGCTCCAAAATGTCCAAAGTTACACGTATGATGTAAAACATAGACAGGAGGCAGGTTCAAGAGGCCCTGGCAGTTCGAGAGCCAGGAAACTGAAGGATGACTTATTCTGGGTTGTAGCATTCTACAATTGTCTGATTGATACTTTGCCATGTGGAATGGCCTTTCTGTACATGTGCCTCCTTGGTGCAAGGTTGAAGACGAGCTTGAGGAACGACGGACCCAAAGATTGCTGTGCAAATGGAGTTTACCACTATTTGCAAGTAATGCTAGTATGCTGACGTCTGGTTGAGCAAAGATTCATTCACAAAAGAACTGGGTCAAATATGCCTGTAGCGAGCAGCGGTTGGTCTGCTGGTCTTGGTCCCGCTTGGGGACCGGCCAGCAAAACAAACAGAGCCCAAGCCAGGCATGTGCAAGAACAAGTGTATGAGCGAGCACGTGCAGCAGCTTGAAAAGGTGGCCCCGCTGTCTGTGGGCCTTTCTAAGTGAGAGCAAATAGCGGCAACCGAAGAATCGCCTTGGGAAGTTGAAGGCAGCGTCGGCTGCCAGGGAACCGTGAGCCCGAGGGAGGGCCGTGACAGGCAAACTCAAAATCATAACTTCCACGAAGGCTTCATCCAGTGCGCCGCAGCATCTGATCTCACCACGCGGAGCAGTGGGACAGGCATGCCTCTCGCGGAAGAAGGTAGCTACAAATGGCGGCGGCTGCTTCCATCATGTCAAACTCTCACCAAGCTGCTGTGCTCAGTACCATCCCCTGCTCTGTCCCTTGCTGCTCCCCTTGCGGCTCGAATAGCCTCGGTCCTGTGGTCGAAGCTGAGAGTCACAAGTCACAAGTCACCACCAGCTGCTTTCGGTTTCGAATCATGGCGCTAGCACAAGCGCCCATCAGAAGGTCCTCATATCCCCAGTCATTGTTGTAGCTGCGACCGCCACTTCCGTAACTCTGGGTGCCTGATTTGACTTAGCAGCTGAGACCCGAGACTTAAAGTCTTCAGGACAAACGGACAAACCATGGTGTTCGCCGAGGTGCTCTTGCTCGTGCCCTTACTCTTTCCCTTGCTCTTGCCTCCGTAGCCGTAATCATCATAACCTGAATCATAACTTGAGTATCCGGACTTTCCTTTGCCCTTGCCTCGGGAACATGCAGGCACATTTCATATGCAGGTCTGCGCGACAGCACAAAACATGCCAAGAGAAACTGCTGCAGCTGAAGTAGACAAAGGGCTCTGTCCATAGCTGTAGTCATCCTGATAGTAGTCCCTGCTCTTGCTCGTCTTTCCCTTGTCCTTGCCTTTTCCCTTGCCCTTGTCGTCTTTGGATTTGCCGCCTTTTCCGTAGTCCGAGCCTTTCTTGCCTTTCTCAGACGACTTTCCTTTGCCCTGCAAAGAATGGGTTCAAGCTGCCAGCTCCCGGGCAATGTTGCAGTGACGGCCAAATGCCAGAACAGAGAAAGCTACTGTACAGCGGCAGCGAAGGCGTCCTTGCTTTTGCCTTTGCCACTGTAGCCGTAATCGTCCTCATAGTCGTCGTAGCTTCGGCTCTTTCCCTTGCCCTTGCCTGGGCTCGGGAATTCTGAAAATGTGGTGTCCTAAGCCCATGTCCCTTCCGCAGGCAAACTGCGTATAGAAAGACAAACTCACAAAACAAAAAACAAAGGCGCTGGAGCTCTTTCCTTTAGAATCTCCTTTGCCCTTGCCTTTTCCCTTTGATGTGGTCGTCTTTCCCTGTCCAGGCACTTGAGGGTTACCGGACTCGGTTGAGTTCCCGATGAACTCTCCGCTCAATGCGCCTTGCCCTTGCCTTTCCCTTCTCCCTTTCCCTTTCCCTTTCCCTTTCCTCGTCCCTTTCCTCGACCCTTGCCGCGTCCCGCGCCCTTTCCGCGGCCTGGAGTCTGGGGATTCATTTGCTCTGTCCACAGGTGGTGCGTAGATAGGCTATTGGTGGGCCTCCAGCTGGGCGGTCGTCTGGTGTGTACTCCTGGAGCTTGACACAAGACCGCAAGGAATCAGGGTCGGGAATTGCGAAACTCAGAGTTGACTCGGCTGTCTCCTTCACGAGGGACTCGTCCAGAGGCGGCTGGTAGCCCTAGCAAAACCAAGCTTGTCGTGAATGATGCTCAGTTGGCACGATGGCTCACATGTCGAACTGAGAAGCTGAAGGGTTCCCGTGTGCCTTGTCGAATGTGTCCAAGGCGTCCTGACTTGCTTAAGCGATCAATGCTGGCCACGGACTGGCTTCGCTCGCAGCAGTCCTTGGACAACTTGATCTCGATCACGGACACGCTGCGCGTGTCGACGACCTTGTCCAGGCCTTCTTCAATGGGTTCGTACTCGTCCACGATGTCCTTAGCTGAACCGTTGAGGGGGCCTGGGGGGTAGACCCGAGAGCAACCTGAACATGCTCCACCATTCACTTCTTGGTACGCCCAGCAACATCTGTTTAGGAAGCATGCTCCGCATGACTACCGGCCAAAACACGAAGCCTGTTCGCTCCAAGCGGCGGTGGTGCCGATGTTAGTGATCTGATGCAGACCTCAAGGTAAGCTCAAAGACGTGGCCGCAGGCACCACCGAAGAGTGGTGGAGGCAAAAGCGAGCTAGGAATCGTCGTGGTGCGTGTTCAACCCCATCACATATCGCACGCACGGCAGTTCTCCACCCGGTGCGACAATATGCGACAATCCTGCAAGTGTCTGAAGTTGGCAGCTCACCGCAGCAGCATTTTCAATTATGCACCAAGTCGGTAGCTGGTTTGGGTCTGGAATTAGCTTGGGTTTTGTTTTTTGATTTGTTGTTTTTCGTGCTTGAGTGGGTGTGCCAAAGGGGAGGCCTCCAAACTGACGGTCGCGGCCTATCATTTCGCTCTGTCAAGCTACTGGGGAGTTCGAACATGCAGGGTGTTGTTTTGCCCCAAGCTATTGGCGGAGTGGAAGTTCGAAGCTCCTGTCTTGTGTCGAGCTATAGGGGAAGTACCACTTGCAGGGTCTTGCTTTGCCTCAAGCTATTGGGGAATCACAATTTGCGGGTTTTTTGCGTTGTGTCAAGTGTTGTTTTGCCCCCGGCTTGGGGGATTACGATCTGCAGGGCATTGCTTTGCGTCAAACCATTGGGGGATTCCAATTTGTAAAGTTCTCTTTTGTTGCAAGCTATTGGAGAATTGTGTTGAGTCAATTGGGGATTTGCAATCTGCAGGGCCTTGCTTTGCGTCAAGCCATTGGGGATTCCCAATTTGCAGGCTTTTATCTTATGTCAATTTAGTGGGGAATCACAAACTGTTGGTTGTGTTTTGCGTCTAGCTACTGGGAAGTTCCGAATGTATGGTCCTGTCAAACTCTCAGGCAATTTGAATCACGGCATCCTCGTAGGAAGAAGCAAGGTTTGAGGCTGTTCGCAACCACACACACACACACGCACAGAGACACCTACAGAGACACACCATGCACACACGCCCAACACACACCGACACACACAGACAGACAGACACACACACACACACACCCTCACAAACACACACACACACAGACACAGACACAGACACAGACACAGACACAGACACGGACACGGACACAGACACAGACACAGACACACACAGAGAGACAGAGAGACGGAGAGACACACACGCACGCACGCACGGACGCACGCACGCTCGCAAGCACGCGCGCACCCACCCACCCACCTACCTACTCACCCACACACACACACACACACACGCCCACAGGGAGACAGACAACACAAACACACAGACACACACACACACACAGAGAGACACACACATCCTCTTGGGGGATTACAACTTGCAGGGGCGATTCCGGTTCGGCATTTTTTTAAGGAAATCAGTTCCCGATTGCGGTTCATCATACATCTTAATAAACACGCCCCTTCACGTAGCGATTCCGGTTCCTTAATTATATACCTTAAACACGTCCCTCATGTGGCGAGCCCGGTACCCATATTTCTTAAGCACGCCCCCTCATTTGGCGATCCAGGCTCATCATACATCTTCAACACGGCCTTTCATGTGGCGATTCCGGCTCATCACCATGGCAGGCTAAAAAGAGAGCGGGGGGGGGGGGATTCTGTACCAGGGGTTCTGAATTGATCCATATGCGTGCTGTTTCTGCTGGCAGGATGTCATCTTGAAGCGAACTTGGACGGCTTGAACAAGCTGGGCGAGGGGCTGACAAAGCAGCGCGAAACACTGGCAGGCAGTTTGTCATTGTTCTGAGTGAAGGATTGTCGGTGGTGTCTTGATGCATGCCTGGGGAGGTCTTCTCATGTGTGAACCAACATGGTTCTTGTGAAAACTTTGAAACGAGAGAAGGCAAACATGACTTTGCATTCCGTGCACACATGCAACACGCGTACTAAACAGACACTCCAGATAGATTGTGTTGTTGTTGTTGTCGAGCATATATCTTAAACACGCCAAATCATTTGTCGATTCCAGCTCACATCTAACATCATCTAAAACATGCACCTCATTTGGCGGTTCCGGTTTAATATACTTCCTAAACACGTCTTTTCATGTGGCGACCCCGGCTCATCATAATATATCTTAAACACGCCCCCTCATGTGGAGACTCCGGTTCATCATATATCTGAAACACCCCCCTGCCCCTATTGGGCGAGTCAGGTTCACCATATATCCTAAACACACCCCCTCATTTGGCGACCGAGGTTCATCACATATCTTAAACACACCCTCACCATATGTCTTAAGCACGCCCCCCTCATTTGGCGATTCCGGTTCATCCTATGCCTCATTTAAAATTTGCTAAACCCGCCCCAACTTCTCACGGGCCGCAGCGTGTGGCTCGCGACCCGGCCGACCAGCGCCAAGGCTAAAGGGAGTTGGGGACCAGCAGGACCAGGGGACCAGAGATCAGAGGAGCAGGGGACCAGCAAACAAGAAGACCAGGGCGACCAGGACCAAGGACCAAGGGGACCAAGGAGAACAGGGGCCTAGGCTAACCCTCTGAAGTTGCAAGTACATGCGGCATTTGCTCTTGTTTTGCATGACGCTATTGTGGCAGGGACCAGGGGACCAAAGGACCAGGGGCCTAGGCCAACCCTACCAAGGCCCCAGAAGAGAGCCAATGTTAGGAATCCAAAACCCCGGACGCACCAACCACAAGCCGAGAGACCGCGCACGAAACCAGACCAAACAAAAAACTGCCCCCCCCCCGACCCAAAAAAATCAAGACAACAAACTAAATACGCCTCCGACTGGTTTGGCCCGCAAGGAAGGTGCCTTTCGCCAGGGTCTATGCTGGCTGAGGAGTCGACCCTTGAATCGGCGCTTGATGACTTCAGCAGTAGTAACAGCCTCAACAGCCATTTCAGAGCAGGATCAACAAGTTCAACAAATCGGAAACTGGAGCGGGCAAACCTTGGTCAGCGCGTTGCCGGTCGCCTGAATGATGACCTTGGCAGATCTGCAAAACACACAGCCGCATAGCTCAAGATCCGCTTCTGAAAGCGAAGCTCACTCTACCAGAGCCTGACTGTGCTTAGCCGAGCCGCGAAGGACTTGCCTAGGTCGTTGAAGACCGTTGCAGCGCGGGAAACGTAAGCCTGGTATTGCGGCATCCATCTCGGTACCGGTGTCGGTTGTGTGGATGGAAATTCGCGAATTACGTGCTTCGACCACAGACTAGATCCATCTTCATGCTTGCTCAGTCTTAACTGTGGCTTGCTGACAAAGTGGCTGAGACACTGCCAGCAGCAGTCACACGGATCTCCTCATCACTCTTGACAATCTCTTCCTGGCATGTGACTCGACCAAATAAATGCTGTCATTGCAGCAGAGGGGGCAAATTGATTGGGCAACACATCCTTTTGCAACACGGAAACTCTCTCACCACGGAAAGCCACATGACGTTGCAAAGGTCCCAGTAACAGTGGGTCACCGCAAGTTTCCGAATCCTCAACTTGCAGTTTCCAATGCAGCGCCTTGGGCTTTGGCACTCTGCGGTACTTATCCATGGCCGAGGGCTGATGTTCAGCAGTGTGCGAAGCTCGAGAAGGATGCTGGGGATGAGCTGGCTCAATGCTGCGGCACACGTACTGTCAGCAAAGCTCAGGGTTGCGACTTGTCCAGGCCGGCATGTGACATGATCCAAGGCATTCTCTGTGGAGTCTGCGAAGTATGCAAGAGTCGCTCCTCGTCAGAAGCTCTGATCTCATCTTCCATGGCCTGAAACGCCGGCTGTCTTTCTCGATCCCACCCCTGCACACACCTCAGAAAGGTTCCTGCAGTAGACTGCAGACACAAATTGCTCTTGAGAAGCATTATTCAATCTGCATTCTCATGTCAAGAAAACAGCGCATCATCACAAGCCAATGGAGCGAGGAACGCCACGATGTGGCTAGATGATTCTTGTCGGTATTTGGTGCCGAGGTGAAGTTGGGCACCAAATTTGGAAGGAATCACTTGGGACTTGTGGGGTGTAGCTTCCGGGGATGTTGACAATACACCTTGAAGCATGCTTCCTGCAGTGTTCGGGGGATTGGCCAACAGGCCACACATTCAAGCTGCATCTAATGGAGTTCGAAGCTTGATTTCCGAGGGATGCTTGGCTTGATGCGCTGAATACGACAATACGAGCCTTGGAAAACTGACAACTATTCTGGACCTTCCAACTGCAAAGCTGCTCCTGCAAAGTGCTGCACCTCGATCTGCCGCAGTGCCAAGGCTGACTCCACCTGAAACCAAGCACCGTGCAGCGCAAGCAGGGCAAGCAGGGCTGCTGCAGGGCATTACTCATTGTCGCAGCATGTCGCCCACCTCGTCTGCCCGCCGGTTTTCGGTGAGGCGACGCTCGCAGGAGCCCCGACCTTACCACGTCCGAGCGGCAATGTGCCTGTCTCTGGCCCTCATGGCCATCTCTGCAGGCTAGAAGCCGTCGAAAATTGAGAATTTTTCTGAACATCTGCTGTGCATGCCCGGGGCCATAGCAGTCAGTCAGCTCAAGGTTGTTCTTGTCCTTCCAACGTTGTGACGCATCTGCGAAGCCCACAGCCCCCTGCCCAACTCAACAAGTTCACTGTGCGACCGATTTCATCCTGGAAACGCAAGCGCTGCTCATCCAGCTGCCCTCGGAGATCTTCATTGCTGCGGACCTTCCAGTTCAGTGCGTTCGACCGTCCATTGCATCAACGTCAAAGACACTTGGGCACTCGGCTGCTGCAGCAAGGGCATCGTCCGACTCGCGCATCTGCCGCTGAAGTTCGGCGACCACCTGTCGGCTGTAAGGCAGCGTAGGGTTATGATGCTACACGTGGCGCGTACATGTGAGATACAGGGAGGGATCCCATACCGAGCCCGAGCTGCCGAGCTTCAACGGAATTGCTCGAAATTTCACGAGCGAACTTCCGGGACGCGCTACGCGCCTGATCCAAGCTTTGGGTCTCGCTGACCTGCAGAGAGCAAGGAAGCATCGCCTTCATCGCCATTGCTTTGGAGCACTGCAAGGCAAGGCAACAACCTCGCTTCTTCCAATACAGCTTTCCACAAAATTGATACCTTCAGCACTGGCTCCTTAACAAAGGTAGAAGAAAAGGGCGGTGTGCCTTCGAAGTGAGGGCTGTTTCTGACACGGCGATTTGCCGATGCAGCTGATCCAGACTCACCTGAAGCGATCAATACCGGTACCTTCTGAATTTGGCAAATTTGGTACTGCCCGTCTGTGCCGGACCTGCTTTGCATCCAGCTGCTTCTCCTGCTCGCTGCAGTAAGACTCCAATCGTGTTCGTTCCTCGAAGCAGCTGCTTTCAACATGCAGAAAAGAGAGATCAGAACCCTTGCCGCTCCTCAATCCAAGCCTGCCTCTCCTCCAGCTGGCGCTTCTCGTGGGCCTGGCGCAAGTACGGATCCACAAAAGCCCAAACCGACACACTTTGCGAATGTCCAACCAGGCTCTGTGCATCCTTAATCCAAGCTCCGCAATAAATAATATCCCTATATTTCAAATTTTGTGTTTTCCGGAAGTCCTCGTTCAGTCATAAAGAAATCCCCCTATATTTAAGGGAGAAAATTCGCCCCTTAATCAGCTTTGGAAAAACATTGGAGACTAAAATGTACTACTTTACTGGAATTAAAGACTTGGTAGAGCCGAAAACTTAGCACTTTACTGCAATTAGAGGCTTAGTAGAGGCTTCGAACTTACTTTACTGCAATTAGAGGCTTAGTAGAGGCTTCAAACTTACTACTCTATATACTTTACGACAATTAGAGGCCTAGTAAAGGCTTCAAACTTACTGCTGTACTGCAATTAGAAGCCCAGCAGAGGCTTACAACTTATTACTTTACTGCAATTAGAAGCCCAGTAAAGGCTTAAAACTTACTACTTTACTGCAAATTAGAGGCCCAGCCCGAAAGCATCCGATCCGTATCAAATCCTCTTTGCGTGGAAGCCCCAAATCATTCCGCCCTGACCTACCCCTTACGGGTGCTCCCCGAGCAAGGATTCTCCGGATTTGTAAATCCTCCAGATTTCTAGGCCCCGGCCTGGGCCAGGCTGCTAGTTAGAAGCTTGAAGCTTTCCTGGCTTGGCTTCCTTTGGGCCTCGAGCCATGCGAACTGCAAAACTCTGGTTTCGCCTACTTACTACTACTTACTACTACT